GACAGGCTGACGGTTGGCTGCGCCTCGGGTCCGACGTGTACAACAGCAGGATCCGTGGACCACGCCTCGCGCGTGTACTGCAAGTGCTTCCGGAGCGTGCGCCACTGCCACCACTCCCAGAAACAGGAGGCGGCAAGAAGCAAGAGAGCGAGCACAGCAAGAATGATGATTCCGATCTTCGTCATCTTCACAAGAGCATTGCCAAGGTCGTCGATCGTGGAGGTGTCCATATCGTCGCAGAAGCTGAGCGTGGCGCGGTCGGGAACGGGCAAGACGGACGAGTTGAAGGAGAACGAGAGGAAGGTGTCGTTGATCTCCTTCTTCACAAGCTCAAAGGGAGTGTCGACGCTGTTGTTTCGTCAGTCAAGCTATTCAAGGGAGAGCAACAGGCGTGCGTACAGATCATCGACCTCGCTCTTGAGCTGACTGACGCTCGGCAGAGACGAGTTTAACGACGTCAGTGCGTCGGTCAGGTCGCTGGGAAGCGTGAGGTTGGCGAGCGAGCTAAGATCGGGAACCTGCAGCCAAAGTCAGTTTTGAGAGCAGAAGTTTCAAAGAACACGCACGTCAAACAGAGGGGCAGTGATGTCCCCAGACGGGTTGAGATCGTTGACTTTGTCCACAATGGACTTGATTGCAGAGTTGATGCTGGTGACGTCGTTCTGAATAGAGGTGCGCAAGCCACTCGCAGTGGACTGAATCAAGTTGCTGGCCTGTATTGCGAGTCAGCTTGGGAAAGTGCACGGCAGGAGGAAGTTGACTTATCTCCTTCAGGCCGCTAATGATGATGGACAGACACAGGGCGCATTAGGGCGTTATCCCGCTGGCCATCGGTCGCGTAGATTTACACATTCGCGTCGCGTTTGAGGCAGCCGACAAATCTCCGCCTTTGTGGACTGCCTAAAACGCGATGCAAATGTGTCACTTTGGCCTGATTTTAGGCATCTGGAGGCTGAGATAGTACGGCCTAATGCGCCCGGTGAAAGTCGCGCGATACGCGCCCGACTGTTCGGCAATCCCCGCTTGGCTCAGTCCGAAGCCTGACGCGTCGACGTCAGCGCTTCATCCAGCTGCAAGCGGGGTGTTCGGTTTCCTTCTTTTCCCCATAATCTCGCGCTCCTGTCTTCCCCGTCGCCCTCCCATCCTCGCCTAGCGCCCCTCTCCTCTTGTCGCTGCTGTCAGGCTCGCCATACTATTTCCCTGCTCCCGTCTCTGTAGCACGGCCTTTGCTGCTCAGCAGCCCGGCGATGGTTTGGTGTTGGTCCCGCGTCTGGTCGTACGGTACGTCGCGTTGCGCTAATCATACGACACATTGCTTACGAGTGATTCAATAGCTGCGATGCTTTGCTTCGTATCATCGACTAGGTATGTCGCTCTTCTGCATACGCTCCGAGCTGGCACTCACATACTTAGTCTAGCTTGCTCGACGACGACCGACACACTTGCATGGTGTATGTCAGTCTTTCGGGGTCGTGAATTTAGCAGCTCGCAATGCTGTACTGCCCGCGCGCGATGGCTTTGAAGCCGCAGCCTGTCACCTGTGTCAGCCGAACCACGGTTTCTCCCGCGAGAGGACGTCGCTTCGCGCCGTTCTTCGCGTTTATGGCTTCCATGCCTGAGCGGTTCCTAGTCTTCCTCTCTCGACTCATATTCATTGCATGGTGCCATTTTACAATTCTGGATGCTGTTCGTGTATTGTGTCTGACCCCTCCTGTACGCGCCGAACTCGTGATCTACGAAGAATACATTTTTTTCCTGCATTCGCTGTGTGGGTCACCTATTACTTTATTGTGATTATAGGACTTCGGGGACAGAGGTTGGCTGCTTGAATGGGTGTAGACCAACCGAGATTGATCGCTGATTGTCGTGCGTAGTCGCCTTGGCCATCACGCGGCTGTGCGCACCTATAACGCTTCTTTGCTCTCAACCGCCATCACAGAGCAAACACAAGTTCACATTCACGAAAGGTATGGACTCAAAACATCATGTTAATGGCTAATAAATTACTTACATCTCGTCGCCACAGTTCCATCGCTTTATCGCAAGACACCTGTCCTGCTCATCGTCGAAGATATGTCTACCAGTCAAACAACCCGCCTCAATGATGTCTCGGATGAACGAGCCGCACGTGCGTTGCAATCCTATATTATAATCTATACATACCGCTGACTATGTGTACACAGAGTTGCGGGTTGATATGTATGGATTTAGAGATCATTGGGGAAGAGTCTTGCATGGCAGGCATCAGCCCGCACAGCATGCTGTAGTTGGGTCTTCATTTCATCTGATGGATCTACAACTGAAAACGACCTTTAGCTAGAAAATACCGCGCCCAACACCACGTCCACTAGTGCATCTGCAGATGCCTCGCCATCCGTCGGTACCCTCGAGGGCATATGGACTGGGATCAGTCGGCTTTTCTGTGGCTGTGTCAGTTCGGCAGAGGATGATGGGGGATAGTTTTCGGGTGTCTCTGTACTTTGTCTGTATCAATGCGGGTTGGAGTCCATGTAAATGCAACATATTTCAATGTACGATGTCTAAGTGACATGCACTCGGTGCGCGCTGGAAGCCCCAGCATTGCAATGGATCGCAATTGAAGAGCAATATGAAATGAGGGACATTGAAATAGTACATGTTCTAATATCATCCGTGCAGGAAGAGGGCATTGAAACGAAGAACAACGAGAAACATGACGTTATGATGGTATGCACTCAGCCCGTATTGAAAAACGCGGCTTTGCAACGGATCACCATTGAAGAGTGCGTGCGAGATGGGAATATTTTGACACACTGTGTTTCAACGCATGGCGTTGCAATGCAATACGTTCAGCGTGTTTTAGAAGAGACCGCGTTGCAAAAGATCACCGTTTAAGAGGGCTTGAGATTGAATATTGACGAGCCACTCGGCGTTTGCCGAGCGCTTGGCACGCGCGTCGCGTGCCTTGTCGTTTCCCGTTCGACTTGTCCTTCTCTGCCATCGCGCTCATCTCCCTCGCCGTCCTGCCTGTCATCGTTCGCTCTTGCGCCGGCCTGCCGGCGCTGCCTCGGTTGCGTGGACTTTTCCGACGTCTCCCATGCTTGTGGATAGAAGACGGCGGTGGTGATTTTTGCCGAGCGCGCGCGCACTGCTTTGGGTACGTTTGCCGCTAGTGCTCTTAGAACATGCGCTAACCTATTGATAGAGGCACTGATACTCGTATGGTCGCCGAGTGCGGACGATGTTCGCTTACAACACAAGTCCATCCCCTGCGCGTTTCGTCCACGCCTCCTTCCTTCCCATGTCCTTCCGTAGCTATTATACTAGTTGTGTTGAAATGTACAGTATATACCCTATACAACTTTGCTCCTCTTGAAGTCGTGTGTCGTGCTATATGCCCCACCTCGCTCTTTCACGTATTTTCGTCACACGCGCGAGCACGCGGACTTAAAGTCTATTTCTTGAACAAGATATATCAGTCCGGGGTTCGACCAGGTTCAGAACTCGGAATTTGCCGAAAACGGCTTCGAGTACCGTTATGGCCGACCTCGCCGGTGATCCGGACAGGACGCGGTTTTATAATCGCGCCCATCAGTTGTTGTGGGGTTAGATAACCCCGGTCTTTCACCTATGCAAATCCTGCTTCAGGCTCTAAACTCCTCTGTTGACAGCCGTGTAGTACGTGTACCTCGTGAGTGCGGCTCGCTTCATTGACGTGTGGTGTGCTTATGCTACCTGGAACTAGATCGGTTCTAGTTTGAACACAGTGCCACAACCACATCCAGCGCCCATCCAGCGTACGCGTGCCACATCGGGAGCGAGTTCAAATTCGAATCAGCCTCTGGATCCGCTTCCGCCGTACCGCCGCGCCGAGAACATCGTTGATCGTACACTTTTGTTTCCGTCTGACGTGGAGTATGCGGATGATGAAGCTGTACTATTACAAGGCCAAGTTGACAGCGTTCGCGCTACTGCTCCTCGGCCGCCGTCCGTGCAATTGCAGCGATGATCGTCCAGCTTGGTAAAGCCGCTATGAGTGACTAGTACAGTAACACAGTGCTCAAAACTACACGGGTTGGTATTGCTCCTTTCCACGGTCACGCCCATCGGCCAGGTCGCTCAGATCTGTATTCTATGAACTCCCGCATCCTCTGCCCCGCCAAACTCCGTGAACCAGTTGAGCCCGTTATGGGTATGTTGAAGTCTCAGATCGGGGTACCGCTCCGAGGTTCGGATGCCCAGCTTTAGGGTATAGCATAACCGTTTTTGTTTCCGGGTAACGGTGGGCAACGGGGCGGAGCCCGGGCCGGGCCTGCCGCTATGCTGGCGGG